ATATTAAATACGTTAAGTTTTATTTACTAGCTCGTCTTGCTTTCAGGATTTGTTTGATAAGGACAACGAATTGGGCGTCTTTCGTAAGGAGAGTCAATTCAAAACACGCGTTATTCCTAATGGTATTTATCTGAGTGTTTATTTATGCTCTATATACTGTGAGAACAGAGTGAAGTAGATTATAAAATATTTTCAGTGAAAGAACAATCTCCGTAAATTGTATTGTCTTTTATACACTATATATCATACTTTACCACTTGTTAACATTCTATCAACGTTTATAAACAAGTCGCATAAGAGTGTATTTTTCGATACTTTCACTTGTTATTTATAAAGCTGCAGTCTGTTTTGAAACCTCTTATACGACTTGTGTTTCCACTTAACTCCCATTATTGACTATTTGTTAATCGAATATAATTCTAATTGGCTTCTAATTCATTTTAGGCGTCAACTTCTACAAATTTACTGCGTTATGAGGACCTACACAGGATCAGCAATGTCGACATATCCTTCCGAAGCAATTATAATTCCATTACAATTCAATTTTCAAGATGAGTAAGAACAAATGTATTGTATTGTATTTGTTGTTTATTTGCACTTTACAAATTGTTCAGAATATGCTTTTGACTATGCATAAAATTTGTATAAATACGATTTGAAATGTATTTGTTTTTTTTTTGTTTGGTTTTTTAGTGTACATTTTGTGTTTTAAGCATTGTTATGCAAATCGATATAAAGATAATAGAATAGTAGTTCGAGCATGATATAAATAAGAGCGGACTTTGTGACAAATTGTAAGCCAGGCCATAGAACTAATATAAATATGAATATTGCATTAGATAGGTACGACCGTATTCACCGAAAGAGAAATAATTAGATAAATATTAATGAAAGAAATCCAAATGTACAACCGATTTATTTAGATGTATATAGTTAGTATATAGCAGCTAGAAGTAGTAGTTGAGGATTATTGTCAAGTTAGGCTTCAGTTGCTGCTGCTGATGCTGCTCCTGCTCCTGTGGCTAATGCACTCCATTCGTTAGATTGTTATTGGGTGTGCGCTCATAGCTGCGCCGATGCAGTGCATCCACATCCTTAAGGTAATAGGTGCCCGGGAATAGAGCACTGATGCTGCCCGTTGGCGTGTAAGGCGCTGCGTGATTATTCTTCTCCCTCACCTCCATCAACTCGGAGAACTTTTCCGGAGCCACCTTCTCTCTGGAGTTCAGCAGCGGCAATACATAATCCAGCTGCGAGACAAACTTCTCGAATGTGGCCGCATCTTCAGTCACTTTAATGGAGTACATCGAGGCAGCCAGGCCGGAGCCATAGGAGAAGACGCCAATGCGCTTGCCCACTAACTGAGCCGCCGGCTCGCTGATCAGCAGCGAGACCAGACCTGAGTAGACGCTCGGCGTGTACATGTTGCCCACCTGGTTGGCCAGCAGCAAGGATTTCTTGGTCTTTGCGGCGAACAGCTCCGCCGACTGAGTCAGGAACGCCTTCTCCACATCCCGGTCGAAGTAGCTGCCCTCCAGTGTGGCCTCGTTGAAGCGCTCCAGGCCAGGAAACTTTTGGACGCGCTCCGCTTCGGTGCTGAGCAAAAAGTCATTGAAACACAGACGACCCACGGACTTCTGCACCAATTTACAGAAGGGCGTGTGGAAGAGGATAGCATCGAAGATCTGCAGACCCAGTGGCTGTTGCTCAGGGTGCAGCTTCTCGAATTTCTTGCGATACAGCCGATAGCAAGTGTCCAGTGCCGAGAGGTAACACTGTATGGAAAGCTTGCCGTCGACTGTCGGGTACTCGGAGCTCAGGTCGGGCTTGTAGAAGTCGTAGGCATGCTCCATGTGGGTGGCGCGGAGGCCACGCTCGATGATCAGTGGCGCATTTGGTCCCACTAGCATGGCAATGGCGCCGGCGCCGCCTGTGGGACGGGCTGCACCCTTGGCATAAACGGCAATGTCGGCGCATACGGCTAGCGCGTAGCGTCCATCCCAGCTGGACGATTCGATCCAATTTAAGGCATTAAAGAGTGCTGCAGTGCCGCCGTAGCAAGCATTTGTGGTATCGATACCTTCGATATCGGTGTTGCCGCTAGTGGCAAATAGCTGCATCAGTACAGATTTCACCGATTTCGATTTATCGACTATTGTTTCGGTGCCCACTTCCAGCCTTCCAATGTCCGTGTGCTTGATATGATGGCGTTCCAGCAGGCGCGTGACAACCGTTAAGCACAGAGAGTTGACATCCTCGCGATCTGAACAGAAGCCCATCTTCGCCTGGCCCAGACCGATTGTGTACTTGCCAGCGGAGGCGCCATCGAACTGTTCCAATTCCGTTTGGTCCACATATTGCGAGGGGAAGAGCACTTCAATCGCGCGTATTCCAACATTTTCGGGCCAATTGCTTGACATGGCTTGATTAAATTTCTAATTGGTCGTTGACAGATGGTAGAAAATCCTTTATAGTCCTGAGCGCTGCAACGAGACCGAGATCCCAGTTAAATGTTATACTTGTATATTTTGCTGTAAATGCCACGCTGTGCCCATCACAACTTTCACCTCTTGATATTCTGCGCAATCAGACAATCAGAAATCGTCTTTAAGTTATGCATATTGCTTGTAATACCTGAACAAATTGCTTGGGTTGGGGTAAAACGCTTAAAATCAACAACAACCGTCACCGCACATGAGCGCCACCTGTTGCACGCTCGAGCTGCTCTGGCCGTGTGCGGCAAGAGCAAGAGCAAACAGCAACGCAACGCAGCGACGTTGACTGCGGCGTTGCTGCGACCATGGAGCCCATTGGTTCCGATTTCGTTTTCGCTGCGTTGAGCTTTTCAGACACGCAACTGTGTGAGTGCGAGTGAGAGGGCGAGGTAAAGACGAGCATTATACCTAAAGAAACTAAAACTAGCAGCAACAAAAAAAAATAACATAAAATAAATAAATAACAACAACATCAGAAGCACTAAAATTCACGGCGAAGAAACTTTCTCCAAGCAGTCAAACCTTACTTTAAAGAGAACTCAGCCAACTGCAAGAGCGGCAGAGGCAGAGGCAGAGACAGCAGCAGAAGCAGAAGCAGCAACAACAACTAGACTAAACAGGCCCAGCCCTAACATTAATATTATGTTAAAATGTGTTGAGTTCATATTAATTACAGACGATGCAGATTAGAAAAGTTTATTGTCTTCAACGAACGATGTCACTAAATTTGGGAGTATTTTATTGCAGAGATATATGTACCATATATTTATTTGATTTATTGTATAAATTAGGTTTCTAAATAAACAAAAATGAAATAGATATCAGGAGTCAGCTGAATAAATTGAGTATATATGGGTTTTTAATAACCTTTAAGATTAGGAATACTTTCTATAGTGTGGAAAAAATTAGGGATAAATTTACATTTTATAAAATCTGATTCCCTTTACATATACAGGTATGTACACACATATTTTGTATTATATTTGATATATTTGTAGTATCATTTCTATATTCTATATATCGAATTTAACAAAGAAGCAATCTAAAAACCGGATCGATACGAAAAACGCAAACTAAATTAAATTGGGAAATCATAATAAAATATAAATAAAATAACACATAGAAATGAAAAGTATATACATATGTATATAATATAGGTATATTCAAAAATTCCTGCTAAATATTAGTTAGCACCCTAAAAGTCTGGATTATATGTGCTAAAATAACACGAAAAAACTCAAATTTTCATATTCTCTCTTTTTTTTAGGACTGGGTCAAGTTGTATTTTTTGACTGATTGGGAATCAATGTGGGTCGCTCTCTAACGGTTAATATTGTATAATGAGCACCGAATTGTGCCAGGTTTACCGTTACTGTTAGCACCTGCCACAAATATTCGAATGCCGAAATAGTTTTGAATTTTTCTCTTTCGATTTCGTCTGTTTTCACTTTTAACGTTTTATTTTATTGCCGAAACCTTGTTGTTTACGTGCGCGACGCGTTGCACACTCAAGCGAATCTCTTTGCAGACTGAACAGCGCCAAGAAGAGCAGAAACAGCGGCAGCGGCAGCAGCGACTGATCGTTGGAAATACGTTAACGTCGACAGCGGCAGCGACGTTGGCAGCAAACAAATGCACAGAGCGAATAACGGAGAATAAGCTTTGTAAGCCAATGCCATCTGCTTCACTCTCCGATACGTAATGCCGCACTAGCTGAATACCCTGGAATAGCTAATATATTGCATATTTACTAGGAGTAATTGGACTTCGAACTGAGTTGATAAGATCAAAGGCGGTGCGCGAACAATTGGCAAACCTATCGTCCGGAGGCGATAAGCCACAACTTGATGAAAGCTGTTGACTGTTGGTTAATGGATAAAGGCATATTGTACGACAATTGTTGTATTTAGGTTCCATTTAAATTAAGTGTCGGTGTTAGAGTTCAATGTTATGGAAATGCAATGCAAACGTAGTGCTGTTTACGCAATGAGGAAGAGCCGCATACAATTGGCATGATTTATTTTTAGCAGCCGCCACTGGAGATGAGTGTAAACAGTCTAATTGGAAAGTGCTGCTCACTGGAAGGGGAATGGAATTTGGGAATTGTTGCGCATCCGTTTGTGTACACAAATCATTCGCTTGTTTTTTTCATTCTACCGAAATGCTTGAGTCATCGTTAACTTCTTTTGTTTTTGCACATTTGTAGCTACGGGGTAAAGGTTTTGCACTTACTAAGGCTAATGTACATACATATGTACGTACATAGAGGAAGCACGTGTGCCTTTTGTTATGTGAAATGTAATTGTATTATGAAACAAATGTAATGAATTTGAAATGTCACAAAAGCTGCCAAACAAAATAAGTGTGGAAACAGCCTTTATATATAGATATAGCAAATATCGTCATTTGTTGCCGTAGCTTATATTTAAACTTACTATTGTTTAATAACAAACACCCACACAGTCTATTTTTTCTAAATTTTTAAGGCTTTAAATTGTCAGAAATTCTGTTCAAAATTCATAACTGAAGTATACGAAATATCCCTTAGCTGTGTACACTAGATATTTAACATTCACATTCACTTACAAATTTTGGTATGCTAGTATGAACTTAATTGTGCCAAATAATAGGATTAACTAAACTAAACTTTTAATAATTAGGCACGTAGTTTATGGGCGCCTACATAGAGACCGACAAGGGCAGTGTGTACACATGAACTGTCGCAGTGAACAGCTGTTTCGTAGACAGTGTGTACACCCTAGCTTCAATCGATATATGCACACATATCGTCATCGCCACTTATCACGTGAATCTTATGCGAAATTGTGAATTGTCATTTTTGTGTTGAGTTTCTACCAGAGTCTTGTGCTCCGTTTCGTACGTGCATTGTGGGTAGTGCGGTTGTGTTGCTTGATTTTTATTAAAAACAATTTCAGCGCACAATAAAAACTGTGTGTTTAATAATCAACAACGACTTCGACGTGTGTTAGTGCCGCTTTAAATGTAAGTGTAACTCGATTAAGTGCGTGTGCAAAGCGACAACGCAGCAAATTGCGCGCATGAAAAAAAGTTATACCAGGTCTGCTGACCTGTTATCAAATGTTGCACAGTGTAATGGGAGTAAGCAAGCTCTGCAAGTGCCCAATAGTCAATTTTCTGCTAAGACAAAATCAAATATGATTGTGTATATGTGCGCAAATAAAATGACCCTGAAAAACCGTAGCCTCCCTGCATGCCCTCGGATTTATCATGCGTGTGCCCTTACAATGAATTGGCGGGCTATGGCATTCGCTCTATGATATAAAATATGTTAGCAAATGATTAGTTGTTTTGGTTATTTGAGCAGCAAAACCCGTGAGAAAATGAAAATATCGATCGAATAGCTGTCATGTGACTGTCACGAACAGCTGACTGTGCGGCAAACCCACCACCGCTGTGTGTGTGTGCGTGTGTGTTTGTATCGAGCTGTGGGGAATTGTTGTCTCTGTGCGTTATCGTTCTCACTCTCTTTAAAATGTTCGCTCCGTTGCTGAATACTGGTCTCTCCTTTGACCTGCTCTCTCTCTCTCTCTCTCTCTCACACACACTCTGCGTAAACAAAATATCAAGCTGTTTAATTTACAAAAAACATTTCAACATGGCACAATTCATTAAATTTATGAATTCTTCCGTATTTCCTTTCACACTGCTGTCTGGCCACACATGCATAAACTTTTTATGTTTGTTTGGACAAGGACTACACTAAATAGTAATATTGCGTGCCGCAAGGACCTTGACGCGGCTGACCAGATATAAACTTGAAACGAAAAGTTAAACACGCTTCTGCGTTTTTAATTTTTTTTTTTGTTTTGCCCAGGCAATAAAACACAAATGTCAGCAGCTGACCAAAAACACAAATAATTAAAAAAACAGCTGCTAGGTTAACACACTTTAAAGACTTAACAGCAGGCTTCTCTCTTACTCTCTCTCGCTCCATTTCTGTTTTTCTCCGGCTGACAGCTTACATTATTATTAATTAATTTGCCCGCTCGCCCGCTGCCTTTGTACATACATATACACATTTACAACTCGTATATATATATATATGTATATACATATGTGCGTGTCCGCCATTAACATCATCGCCGTTATTCTAGTCGCTATTTTTGTTTTCGTCATCGGCGAACGCTGCAATTTCCTGTGTGTCGCGTCCTTTGTAGCTGAACGCTTCTCTCCGCAGACCGATTCGCCTTGCTATCTCCTCCACCTTCTCACCCACTAAATTTGTGCCAGCCGTTATCCAGTCTGACTGGCGCCATGCTCTTCGCTCTTCGCTCTTCGCTCTTTTATGTCAACATCATTTACGCCTGTTTACAGTTGGAGTTTATAACTGGCAAACAGTGTTGCCAATTTATGTAGTTGCCTTTGCCTTTTTAAGTTCGTTTTTATATAATTAGCTGTGGGAGCACTACGAAATGAATGAAAATATTCTTAAAGCTAACTATTGTTTAATGCAATTGCATTTGTATTAATTTGCCTGAATGCGTCACGCTTGACCCGCGGCAAACATGGAATTGAATACATGTATGTATATACACAGATATGTACTTATGCATGTACATGTGTATGTATATATTTAGTTATGTTCATGGTGGCATAACTGCCTCCCTCCAGGCGGCTCGGCTTAGTGATTTGTACGAAAGCAATTTAGATTTCGGTGCTAAAAATAGACACGGCTTTGTTGTAGTTGTTTCTTCCACTTCCAACGGTTGCCAGGCTCTCATTTGTTTCCTGGTTGAGGACAATGCACTGCCTTGAATTTTGTCCTTGTTGTTATTATTACTGTTGTTGCTATTGGTGTGGTTGTTGTTAACGTTGGGGTTGATGATAAGCATGGTTAGTTATGGCGGGGCGGCAGCAGTCATTATTGGGGATGGTCAGCGCTCGATTTTGTTGTCATTTTGTTTATTTTCGCATACCCTGTAACAGCTTCTAATGGTTCTAACTGACTAGCAGTCTACATTATAAATTGAATATACATATTTTTACAATGTTCGTTTTAGATCGAGTCTACTATTTGATTTTCTATATTTTTTCTATAATACTTTCCTTAAGTATAATTTTTCTTTATCTCCATTGTTTTAGCTGTATTCGACGCTCTAATTTTTATAATCCCTTATCTCACTGTCTCTGCTTTCTCTTTTTATCTCTCACTCTCTCACATATGCTATCTCTCTTGCTCTGCTATCTCTCTTGTCCCATGTTTCTATTAGATCTTATATCAGTACATTTTTTACTCTCTTTTCCTCTGCCTATTAATGCCTTTCTTTGAGATTCTCATAATTTCAATTAAGCACGCATGAATATCAGATCCTTTGAATAGTACAGGGTATTAGTTGATGTTTGTTTTCTACATAACTGCAAACATATGTCTATAGTTCTTATATTGTTGTTGTTTGGTGCTCTTGGAAGGCCATGATAAAGTTATGTAATAATAGTGACTACCACTAAAATGAAATTGACCAAAGTTAGATTTGTATCTCTTGCGATGATTACTCATACGCAAACTGACCTTACTGCGGACAGCAGCAACAACAACAACAGCAACACAGAGAGCAACAACGACACTTACTAAATTGAAGAAGGCGGTTTGCGTGTCGCCGCTTCGTCATCGATTCCTTCATGGCTGCGCCTTTGCGGCACCAACACAAAATTTCGGTGGCAAGCATTATTCCATATGGCAGTCAAACATCAGCAGCCGCAGCGGCAACGGCAACGGCTGCGGCAGCGTTAGCGTCAGCGTCAGCAGCAGCAACTGCGGCGCCAACGGCGATTTCAGCTGCGACGTTCAGCTCCAGCTCCAGTGCCATTTCCAGCGCTCATTTCGCATTGAACCTTCGCTGAGTGCGCACGAATTTTTTTCCATAATTTCTCGTCGCACCGCGTGGCCCGCCTTTATACAAATATTCGCCAGATATTAAAGTTTTGCTCCATCAGATTAACTGATTAAAGAGAAACAAAGAGAAACTATGCCTAAAAAGCTGCAGCGCATACGAGTTGAGCAGTTCTTGACTATATTGTTGAAGCGTAAACAGTGTTAGAATCGTAAGTTGTAGACAACAATAAAACTGTGAATACTCGCTAAAGTGAACGGTGTTAGCACTACAAGATAACGCCTAAAATTACAATGAAAAGTGGCTTGAACAAGTTGATCTAAAAGAAATGTAAAATATATGGAATTACCAAAATATTTATATAGAATTTGATTCTTTTTACGGAAATATTTATACTATTTATTTTTAAGTTGAAGAAAAAGTATATATATGTAAAGGATTTAACTTTTTTGAATATATGCAAAATACATTAAAAATATTTTAGAATAATTTTATTATTATATCGACTTAAACGAGAGCGCACTACATTAAATGCGCATACATTGCGTATACGCAACGTTTTCCATAATTATATAATTACACTTGCAAATCATTTGAATAACATTTCCAGCTTATGGCACAACAGATTCATAATCTATGTAACTCTCGAACCCATATTCCTGCATTAGAGCATTCACTGTATTCAATGCGCACATATTGCGTATACGCCATGTTGACGAGTCGATATACAGGACACAAGTCTGCCTGGCGCCAACTGTCTGCGCTTTGTTGTCTAGCTGGCGATACCATCCCCAAAAAAATAGAAGAAGAAAAAAAGGACCACTGTAATATACACGCGCACAACATGCAGTCACACACACACACACACACACAGCGACACAGACACACGGATATATTGTATATAGCCTGGCAATGAATTGCATATTGCGGGTCGATCGCATCTAAATGTTAGGCTGACCCACGCTTTCGAGGTCAATAATTAAAATTTAATGCGTGTTTAACCAGTGTTTGTTTGACTTTTACAAGGCCATATATAATATGTAGCTATATATAAATTACACATATCCATGCATACTATGTACATTGAATCGATAGCAACTCAAATTACATAATGGAATTTATTTATGAACACGTTTTGTGTGTGCACAGGAATTTTTAAGGAAATGTGAATGCATTATACTACCCAAACCAAATCGAATATATCTCTAGCTATTTCTATGTATCATCTATAATATATATTTTATATATATTTGCAGCTATTTAACAATGTCCGAATATTGGATTATCTCAGCGCCTGGCGACAAGACGTGCCAGCAAACCTTCGACACGATGAACAACTTAACCAGCAAGCAACATAATCTATGCAATAACTACAAGTTCCATATACCCGACTTGAAGGTGATTAGTACTCTGTGGTATACCCTGTAATTTTCAAAGATATCAATGCATACGGCTCTTTTAGGTGGGCACACTGGATCAGTTGGTTGGCCTGTCCGATGATCTGGGCAAATTGGATACGTACGTGGAGCAAATCACGCGCAAGGTGGCCCTGTACCTGGGCGAGGTGCTGGAGGATCAGCGGGATAAGCTGCATGAGAATTTGCTGGCCAACAACAGTAAGTGCTAGTTGTGTAATATCGATCATCAATATGCATACATAGAAATTTATATTAGCTTAGCTTAGATTTAGTTAACAGTTTAGCTGAACCAACTCTCTATATATCTATTGTTTATTTGATTTAGTTAAGATGTTTTTCTAGCTAATTATTTTTGTGAAACGGAATGCTCAGATATATCAAGAAATATCTAGTCGTATTATTGTCTCTTCTATTACTAACAACAACAACAACAACTACGTTTAAAGCCCGTTATATACATTAAGTACACATACCTCCTTTTTCTATATATTTATCCATATATATATATATATATATATATATATATATATATATATATATATATATATATAGC